CTTTCCTGTTTCTGTCCATAAATATTCTACCATGTGACAGCTCCAGGGTCACTCTGACCTTCTGGTTCTGAGGGCTGCCCAATTTGTGAATTATTCTTTTTTTTTTTTTTTTTTTGAGACGGAGTCTCGCTCTGTCGCCCAGGCTGGAGTGCAGTGGCCGGATCTCAGCTCACTGCAAGCTCCGCCTCCCGGGTTTACGCCATTCTCCTGCCTCAGCCTCCCGAGTAGCTGGGACTACAGGCGCCCACCACCTCGCCCGGCTAGTTTTTTTTGTATTTTTTAGTAGAGACGGGGTTTCACCGTGTTAGCCAGGATGGTCTCGATCTCCTGACCTCGTGATCCGCCCGTCTCGGCCTCCCAAAGTGCTGGGATTACAGACTTGAGCCACCGCGCCCGGCCCCTAATTATTCTTTGCTTGATCAAATTCTGTAAGGCCAGGCATGGTGGCTCACGCCTATAATACCTTTGGGAGGCTGATGCGGGTGGATCACCTGAGGTTGGGAGTTTGAGATCAGCCTGGCCAATACAGTGAAACCCCGTCTCTACTAAAAATACAAAAAATTTCATTTTTTGGGCATGATGGCATGCGCCTGTAGTCCCAGCTACTTGGGAGGCTGAGACAGGAAAATCGCTTGAACCTGGGAGGCGGAGGTTGCAGTGAGCTGAGATCGTGCCAGTGCACCACTGCACTCCAGCCTGGGCGACAGGGTGAGACTCTTTCTCAAACAAAAACAAAAACAAAAACAAACTCTGTTAAACATAATTTGTCTAAAGTTTATCATTTAACAGTGGCCATTTAGGGAAAAACCTAAAAGGAGGTGAAGGAGTTAATCACATGGTTACCAGGCAGAGGTCACAGTAGGCACACAGGCAGACACATGCCAGGAGTGTTCAAGAAGGAGAAAAGAGGTCAGGGTGGCTGCAGCCGTGAAGTAAAGAGAATAGGACGGCCAGGTTAAACAGGCTTTGCAGGACAAGGTAAGGGCTTTGGCTTTTCCTCTTAGTGAGATGGGAAGCAACTGGACGGCTCTCAACAGAGAAATGACATGATCTCATTCACTTTTTAAAAATTTTTTCTAAGAGACAGGCGCTCACTCTGAACGACTCCTGAATAGCTAGGACTACAAGTGCATGCTACCATGCCCAGCTAATTGTTTTTTTTTTTTTTTTTTTTTTTTGTAGAAATGAGGTCTTGCTATGTTGCCCAGGCTGTCTCAAACTCCTGGCCTCAAGTGATTCTCTCACCTTAGTCTCCCAAACTGCTGGGATTATGGACATGAGCCACCACACTCAGCCCTCATTAATGTTTTAACGTGATCACACTGGCTGCCATGCTGAACACAGACTGAAGGGGACTAAGGAGGAAGTGAGAGATCAGTTAGGAGACTCTGACTGGGTGCAGTGGCTCACGCCTGTGATCCCAGCACTGTGGGAGGCCGAGGCGGGCAGATCACTTGAGGTCAGGAGTCTGAGACCAGCCTGGTCAACATGGTGAAACTCTGTCTCTACTAAAAATACAAAAATTAGCCAGGCGTGGTGGTGTGCACCTGTAATTCCAGCTACTCAGGAGGCTGAGGCAGCAGAATCACTTGAGCCTGGGAGGCAGAGGTCACAGTGAGCCGAGATCAGGCCGCCACTGTGCTCCAGCCTGGGAGAGAGAGTGAGACTCTGTCTCAAAAAAATAAAATAGATAAAAACAAAACACTGAAATACTAGAAAACAGTGAATGAATAAATAATATGATTTTTCATCAGTGGTCATTCATTATTTTGCTTCTAGAAACCTGGAAGAAATTGTCTTGAGTTTCAAATGTTCTGGTAAATCTAGTCATTTCTTAGCTTCCTCAAAAATCACCTTGAATTGCTGAAATAAGTGACTCTAATGAATCAAAATTCTTTTCTGGTCTGAGGTAGCCAACAATGGCCACACACAGGATTTCCCCATAGAAATGCTCTTTGAAGGTATGCATGGTATGTGGTTCCATGGACTTCTTCGTATTTTCATAGTATGGGTTCCATTCTATGCTCACCACCATCTTCTGACCATCTCTACTTCCAACACTGGCCCAACCATAATAAATGCCACTGGATGTATCAGCTGGCAGATTATTTACCTTGCTCAGGAAAATTAGCTGTGGGGGGATGCCCAGCTGCTTGTAGCCACGGCCGAAGCCCCACACCACTTGGTCCTGGCAGTAGTAGGGTAGATGCCTCGTAATGCAGTCTGCTCGAGGCATGGGCTGTGGCCCGGTCCCTGCGTCCTAAGGAGCCGCCGTCCAAGCGGTGCCTGGACCCTGGACCAGCTGCAGGGTGGGAAGGGGTGTGAGTTCTGTCTGCCATGGGGGGGTGGTGGGGGGGCACCAGGGGCCAGGTGACACCGATGACACGCCACAGAGGATTCCTGATGTCGGCAACTCAGGAGCTGGGTCTCCCGACCATTTTAATTTTCTTTCCTTCTTCCCCCACCTTTTAAAGTATTTTATTTGTTTGTTTGTTTATTTATTTAGAGATGGAGTTTCCCTCTTGTTGCCCAGGCTGGAGTGCAGTGGCATGATCTTGGCTTACTGCAACCTCCACCTCCCAGGTTCAAGCAATTCTCCTGCCTCAGTCTCCCAAGTAGCTGGAATTACAGGCACCTGCTACCACACCTGGCTAATTTTTTGTATTTTCAGTAGAGATGGGGTTTCACCAGGTTGGCTAGGCTGTTCTCGAACTCCTGACCTCAGGTGATCCACCTGCCTCAGTCTCTCAAAGTGCTGGGATTACAGGCATGAGCCACCACGTCTGGTCCAAAATTTATTTTTTATAGAGACGGGATCTTGCTATGTTGCCCAGGCTGGTTTCAAACTCCTGGCTCAAATGAATCTCCTGCCTTGACCTCCCAAACTGCTGGGATTACAGGGGTGAGCCACCACACCTGGCCTTGGACCATTTTCTGACAAGACAACAGATGATGCTCACAGTCAACACAGACCCGTAGGCTCTCCTATGTGTCAACTGTAATCCTACCCTCTTCTCACACACTCAAGAAAACACTTCAGGCTGGGCGCAGTGTTAGATATGGGGGAGTCTGCTGTAATCCTAAATTGCGCAAAGAGCTAGAAAGGAGACAAACAGGACACAGAGAGTAACACAGGGGTGGTATATATCTGGTAGGTAATGGGATGGCAGACACAGGAAATAAACAGCTTTGGACAATTTAAAAAGCAAAAGATTTCAACATACAGTCCATAAATTAGAAGTTTCATGGAAAGTTATATGAGTTCATCCCTGTGAGTTATGATCTTTCAAATGCAAATACATATAAACTAATCTAAAGCGATTAAAATCAAGGTATTACAAATAACTGGTCTCAAGTATAGAAGATCCCACTAGATTGCCATTTGTTGTAATTTATGTAAAAAACAAGTCTTTTTCTGTACAGGAACTATTCTAATTTTTTTTCCCCAAGTGAACAAATCTCAAACTTGAGTTCTTTGAGTCGTGATACTCTTTGAAAACTACTCTCCTAGAAAGACTGCAAAACTGCAAAGTGGGTTCACGAGGAAGACCTCAAAGGGAAGATCAGACTAGTGCAATAGTCCAGGTGAGCAATGATAAGGCTTGATTTGGGGAAATGGATATGGATATGGAGAAGAGGAAATGGATCCAAGAGATACTGAGGAGATCAATGGTTCTGGACGGCGAAGCAGATGTGGAGTGGGTGAAGGCACGAAGAGCCTGTGATGACTCCTAGACTTCCATCCTGAGTTATTTATCCACAATTCAACCTCTCCCCACTTCTCTCTAAGCACATGGCTGGTTCTTCTGGCCACCAGCCTCCATCCTGAAGCTATCTAGGAGCCATCCAATAGTAACCTTATTAACCTAAACTCAGGGATAGTTAAAAGGGGCTCATTAGGAATAACAAAAGATACTGCCACTCAGGAAATTCTAATGGTTTTAGGAACTGTGCCAGGAACCAGGGACAAAGGCCACATATATTTTTTATTATACCACATACAGAAATCCTATAACTTTAAAGCAGAAAAATCTAATAACCCAATTAAAAAATTGACAAAGAACCAGAACAGACTTTTCTGCAAAGATAATATACAAATGGCCAACAAACATATGAAAAGATGTTCAACATCACTAATCATCAGAGAAATGCAAATCAAAGCCACAGTGAGATATCACCTCATACCCATTAGGATGGCTACTATCATAAAACAGAAAATAAGTGTTAGCAAGGATGCGGAAAAATGGGAACCTCTGTGTACCGTTGGTGGGATTATAAATGTTACAGTGTTATGGAAAACAGTATGGAGGTTCCCGAGAAAACTGAACAGAATTCCAAATGATCCAGCAATCCCATTTCTGGGTATATACCCAAAAGAATGGAAAGCAGGCTCTCAAATAGATAGCTACACACTCATTTTCATAGCACTACTCACAATAGTGAAAAGATGGAAGCAACTTAAGTGCCCATTAACAGATGAATGGATAAATAGAATGTGATATACACATATAATGGATTCAGTCATAAAAAAGTAAGGAAGTCATAGTACACGCTATATGGCATGGATGAAAGTCAAAGACATTATACTAAGTGAAATAAGCCAGTCACAAGAAAAACAAGTAGTATATGATTCGACCGGTATCAAGTATCTAAAGTAGTCAAATTCTTAGAAACTGAAAGTAGAATGGTGGTTACTAGGGGCTGAGGGAGAGGGAAAAGGGGAGTTTAATGAGAATAGAATCAGGTCTGCAATATGCAAAAGTACTGGAGATTTATTTCACAACATTGTGAACATATTTAACACTACTGATCTTACACTTAATATTATTAACATGGTAAATTTTATGTCACATGTTTTTTAACACAATTAAAAAAAAAAAACCAAGTTGGAAAACTGGCTATATTCTTTGTAAGCATTACTTTGGGCTAAATAACCTCTTAGAGTATATAAAACCACAAGGTAAATATAAAAACATTTTATACCCAGAAAACCTTGTTACCTGCAACAAACCCAACTACCAGATCTTTTCCAGTGGTAGAACGTTGACCTTTGACCCAGACTGCTTTGAGGCTATTAAAAGTGTAGAAATAGACAAAATTGGAGCAGCAGAGACTGGAAATCACTGGAAACCACCCTCGATATGGTGCCAGGCTAGTGGGAAAAAACACAATAAGCAAAGTAAAGGTCATGGACAAATTAGAAATTGGCAGAGAAATCCTAGGAAAGGCTGACCAGCACTCACATGGTCTCAAGCTTCACTCCTACAAGAATACAAGCGACTCCAAACTGTACACACACCTCACATTCTAAAGGATGTCCAAATCAAGGAATCTATTCTAGCACTAATGATACCAAAGAAACAACACAAAGTCTGACGATTTATTAATTCCCTCCCTTAATTTTCTTTAGTAACGTTGGTATATAAAATTAGAGACAACTTCCTTATGGCTGTTAGTTAACAGAGTACCACTCATGTTTTATGACAGGGCAAGAACAGTTAAAATGAAGTAGTTATAGAAAATAAGTACCAGAAAAAAAAAAAAAAAGATGGAATTCATAAGGGCACAGGAGCTCACAGGATTTGGCTACAGGCCAAATCTGGGGCAATTTGAATACCAAAATAATTAAGTAATCAATTGTAAATCACTGAAAAATAGACATTTCTGAGTCTATACCAATAATAAGTAGATAAATAAATGAAGGAGAAGGGGAAGTCCTGCTTATAGCAGAATGCCAACACTGGTAAAATTGCCACTGTGGAGGCAATGCTGGAGTTGGAAAGTTGTCATTTTGCAACTTCGTGGTAAATTTAGCGGATAAATGTTGACAAGGTGCAGGATATTTGTATTGTTTTAAAGTATCTCCACACAGACTGCTTACAGTTGCAAGAGAAGAAAAAAGTAATCGCACAGTGGCCAAATCAAATTTAAGAAATCATAATTAGCCAACCAAGGGCAGGCAGACAATATGTGAGTCAAGATGTGATACCTTGAGGACACAATATCACCTGTGCATTATTCAGGCCAAGAATGTACAACCTCAATGGAATCATGAGGAAATGTGAGGTAAACTTAAAATGAGAAACATTCTTTTTTTTTTTTTGAGACTGAATTTCACTCTTGTTGCCCAGGCTGGCATACAATGGCGTGATCTAGGCTCACTGCAACCTCCACCTCCTAGGTTCAAGTGATTCTCCTGCCTTAGCCTCCACAGTAGCTGGGATTATAGGCATGCACTACCATGCCCAGCTAATTTTGTATTTTTAGTAGAGATGGGGTTTATCCATGTTGGTCAGGCTGTCTCTAACTCCTGACCTCAGGTGATTCGCCTGCCTTGGCCTCCCAAAACGCTAGGATTACAGGCGGACTGTATTCTTTAAAAGTGTCAACATCATGGGGCTAAAGGCTTTGATGTATGTAACTTACTCTCAAATAATTCAGAGAAAATTTGTGTGTGGTGTCAGTAAGAAGGAGAAAAGAGAGGTGGGAGAGAGAGAGCATGAGCAAAAATGGTAAAACAAACAGGAAAAGATGTTAACAGATGAATATGGGTAAAGCATATACTTGTCTTCTTTGTACTAAGTTTAGTTTTGCAAATTTTTGTAAATTTAAAATTATTTCCAATAAAAAGCTAAAAAAAAGAAGTACATCATCTGTCTTAATGCACCTGACAGGAATGAACTAAACAACTATTATATTTTTTTCAGTTTACTGTATATAAAACAATACATTTTAGTTTCATGGAAGACTCCATGATCAAGAATCAAATGGCTTAAGATAAATATTGTACAAAAATAAATAAATAAAAAGAATCAAATGCCTTACTACAGATCTTTAAGAAACTGAAAACAATTATGTACTTATAAATCAGGCAATTATAAATTTACAACATTATAGTGCTATAAGAATAGATAGAAAGTAAGCATAACTCTACTGGAGGCACAGGAATCTCCTAATAAGTTGCTTTGTTTAACGAAGGTGAAATGAGTTAGTACTCACAGTCCTTCTTCTTTAATGATCTCCAGGAGCACCATGTGTGTAGTTTTGGATTTTCTTTTCTCATCAACTACAAGACCAAACAATGCATGTTTATTTTATTTATTAATTAAATTATTATTATTATTATTTTTTTGAGACAGAGTCTCACTCTGACACCCAGGTTGGAGTGCAGTGGCGTGATCTCAGCTCACTGCAACCTCCACCTCCTGGGTCCAAGCGATTCTCCTGTCACAGCCTCCCAAGTAGCTGGGATTACAGGTGCACACCACCATGCCCAGATAATTTTTGTATTTTAGTAGAGGTGGGGTTTCGCTATTTTGGTCAGGCTGGTCTTGAACTCCTGACCTCAGGTGATCTGCCCAACTCAGCCTCCCAAAGTGCTGGGATTACAGGCATGAGCCACTGTGCCCCGTCTATTTTTTAATACTTTTAGAGACGGAGTCTCACTATATTGCCCAGGGTGGTCTCAAACTCTGGGGCTCAAGGGATCCTCATGCCTTGGCCTCCTCAAAGTGCTGGGATTACAGGCATGAGCCACCACACCTGGCCTGTGTATGTTTAAACTAAATCCTTTGAGAATTATAATTGTCAGCATCAGCAAGTTTCACTAAAATGCCATTTACCTCACCTTTGAGCTCCCTAGGTTGCCCCAGAACTAAATGATCCGCCTGTGTGACCATGTGCTAAATTCCCACTGCAGATCCCTCGGCCTTCATCTGTTACTCATGAACCATAAAGCAATCTAATGTAATTCCTAATTTCCAAAGGAAAAGACATGACAGAAGCAATATCTTTTCTTTTTTTTTTTCTGAGATGGAGTCTTGCTCTGTCGCCCAGGCTGGAGTGCAGTGGCACAATCTTGGCTCACTGCAAGCTCCGCCTCCCGGGTTCATGCCATTCTCCTGCCTCAGCCTCCCAAGTAGCTGGGACTACAGGCGCCCGCCACCACACCTGGCTAATTTTTTGTAATTTTAGTAGAGACAAGGTTTCACTGTGTTAGCCAGGATGGTCTTGATCTCCTGACCTCATGATCTGTCTGCCTCAGCCTCCGAAAGTGCTGGGATTACAGGCGTGAGCCACCGCACCAAGCCTAATATATTTCTTGTATTTCATAAAGCTCTCTTGTTTTATTCAATTAATGTATATATTTTCTCATTTTAGCATCTTATAAAGCAGAGAGGAAATAAATTACTCTCTACCTTTTACAAGAGAGGCTATAGACACAAAAACTGGAAGGACAGATGTGGTCGGCAGCAAAGCCAGTATTAAAATTCAAGTTTCTTTTTTCTTTTTTTATTTTGAGACAGAGTCTCGCTTTGTCACCCAGGCTGGAGTGCAGTGGTGTGGTCTCGGCTCACTGCAACCTCTGCCTCCTGGGTTCAAGCAATTCTCCTGCCTTAGCCTCCTGAGTAGCTGGGATTACAGGCTCCTGCCACCATGCCCAGCTAATTTTTTTTTTTTTTTTTTAGTAGAGACGGGATTTTACCATACTGGCTAGGTTGGTCTCAAACTCCTGACCTTGTTATCCACTCGCCTCGGCCTCCCAAAGTGCTGGGATTACAGGCATCAGCCACCATGTCCAACCTAAAATTCAAGTTTCTTAAAGGGTTTTAGCCTTGTGTTCTGTCTCCTAACCTAAAAAATAAAAAGTCTCAAAAGGATGAGGACTGTGTTTTTCCTGGCATTCTCACTGAAAACAAAACTCACCTTAATTAACTTCAAATTTCCTACCCATACCTGAAAAGCAATTTTAGAACATAAAATATGCAAATTAACCAATTTCCTAAGAATTAAAATTGGTACCAGTATGGCTTGTGGGATGGCAAACTGGCAAACCCCTATAGAAGGCAATCTGAGGCCGGGCGCGGTGGCTTACACCTGTAATCCCAGCACTTTGGAAGGCCGAGGCGGGCGGATCACCTGAGGTCAGGCGTTCGAGACCAGCCTGGCCAATATGGCGAAACCCCGTCTTTACTAAAAATACAAAAATTAGCTGGATAGGGTGGCGCAAGGCTGTAATCCCAGTTACTCGGGACGCTGAGACAGGAGAATCACGTGAATCCAGGAGGCGGAGGTTGCAGTGAGTCGAGATTACGCCACTGCACTCCAACCTGGGCGACAGAGAGAGACTCTGTCTCAAAAAAAAAGAAGGCAATCTGGCAATAACCATCAAAGTTACAAACACAATTACCCTTCAATGCAGTAATCCTACCTCTGGGAATTTATCCCATAGAATTCACAGAAACAACGTGGCACAGGAACAAATCTATTCTTACATCATTTCTGTAATAACAAAAGGGTGGAAACAACCCAAGAATCTACAACGGGGAAGGGTGACAGATTATGGTGCATTCACACCATGCAACACTCCACGGCTGTAAGACACACGGAGACGCTCCCAATGCGCTGATTCGGAAGGCGTCTAAAACATATTGTTACGTGAAAAGTTCAAAGTATAGGACAGCATGTAAAGTATGCTGTTTGTGTAAAAAAGAGAGAAAATTAAGACTACATATTCTTATTCGCTTGGTATCCCATAAAGAAAGTCTGCAAGGCTACTCAAGAAACTGATAAACATGTTACCTGCAGTGAAGAGGGAAGGGAGACAGGGCAGACTCAGAGTGAGCATTTTCACTGCACTGTATACCTTTTTATATATTTTGCCTTTTGAATAATATAAAATTATTTATCCAAAAACTCTAAAATTAACAAAAAATAGTAGGCATGAAGGGTTTAACCTTTGAATTACTATTCGAAGCTAATCTTACTCATCTCTTCATGCAATTTCTGGCATAGGTTTACAATTTCAACTTAAACAAATCTGAGGAAAAAACAGGCAAGAATCACAGTGAGTTGCAGAGTCCCATGAAGCTGCAAAGGCAGATTAGGACTACATGCCTACATTAGCAATGGCATAGTATGTGGCTCCAGTATGTTCCTGTTCTGCCTCTTCTTTTGAGACCATCTAACTCCCTCAAAAAACTCTCCACTGTGTGCCTTAAAAAAGTCATATGGCTTCTTAGAAAAGGATTGTCAACAATTCAAAATTATTAATGCAAGCCCACTCAGGTTCTTAGATTAGAAAATGGCTGAGGCTATGACTCATCCAGGAATGACTCTGTTAATTAGGAAACATATCTTGTGGAAAGAAAAGGAAAATAAAACTTAAAAAAAAAAGGAAACAATGATGACCAGTATTTAAAGTCAATGTTGGATCTCTATAGTATCAGAAATCATAGATTAATTCAGAAATCACTAGACTGGGGTGGAGGCTAAGGTGAGCCAGGCCTGTATGCCCGGCCAGCCCTTCCTCTGCAGCCAACAAAAGCCCATGAGTTTTTCTTGCTGTGGCCACAGGGACATCTGATAAAGCCTTTGCCCCATGGGCACCTCTGGCTTTCCCGCCCTGACCTGGAACCTCCAAGAGGGCTGTACAGTAAGCACTGCCTCTGTACCCCGGGAGGAGCAGCGGTCCTGAGCGTCTTAGATCTGCATAGAAGGGGGCACTGCCCATTCTCATTTCCAGGCTAAAGCCACCCCAGAGTGTGGCTTCACAGGGTGTGTGGAGAAAACTGCAAGCAGCTCATCTAAGGAATGAGTCTGAAAGCTCCCCGCTTAGCTCTGATAGAAATACACCTGCTCTGGAAATTCAAAGGGGCTGTTGATGTGGCCTTGATCTTTGCCTGTCTTGTCATCAGTTGTCAGCAACAACTGGGCAAAAAGCTCTGGAAAAGGTCGGAGGCAAATTGAGTCCATAGAGCTACAGTCCACCCTTTACCCTGGGTGTTAGAGAACTCATCTCAGACAGACAAAGTAACATGGCCTGATGTGCACCATTGGTTCCTCGGAGGCTTTTCCCCATCTGCCTCTTTCAGATCATCGATGGGCAGAAGAAAGAGTGAAAGCTTCCTTCCCCACTGTAATCTGGAGCAGGAAGTCAAGGGGCCTCTAGAGTGGGAAAGGGGGTGGCAACCTTAGGCCCCAGTCTACCAGGTATCTATCTTCTCCCGCTTCTACAACTTATTTCAAACTTCTGGGATACAGTTTCAGCTGAAAAGCTTATTTTCTCAGTCAAAACTTGTTCCCCCTTAACTCTATCCCTGCTAAAAAAATAAAATCACACATACATTAAAAAAGAAAAAAAAAAAAAAGAGGCTGAGTGCGGTGGTTCATGTCTGTAATCCCAGCACTTTGGGAGGCCAAGGCAGGAGATCACCTGAGATCAGGAGTTCAAGACCAGTCTGGCCAATATGGTGAAACCCCATTTCTACTAAAAAAGAGGTTCCTGTAATCCCAGCTACTTGGGAGGCTGAGGCAGGAGAATCGCTTGAACCCCGGAGGCGAAGGTTGCGGTGAGCCAAAATCACGCCATTGCACTCCAGCCTGGGCTACAAAAGTAAATCTCCGTCTCAACAAAAAAAAAAGAAGAAGAAGAAGAAAAAAAGAAATTACTAGAGAAAACGTTTGCCTCCTGACACCAAATGAGTAAGAATATGATTTCTACAAAAGATAAATACTCACCCTGAAGTCGAAGTCTAGCTGTATCCAGGGGAAAAAACACTGTCATTGCTGTCACGCTTCCCTGAAAAGTTTGAAAAAGGCCATGACAGTATCACAAACATAGTAAGTCACAACTTCTTTTTTTTTGAGACAGGGTCTTGCTCTGTTGTCTAGGCTGGAGTGCAGTGGCGTGGGTGTGGTTTACAGCAGCCTCAAACTCTTGGGCTCAAGTGATCCTGCCTGCCACCTCAGCTTCTCAAGTAGTTGGGGTTACAAGCACATACCATCCAGGTGCACAGCACCATGTTTGGCTAATTTTTAAATTTTTCTGCAAAGATGGGGGTCTCACTTTGTTGCCCAGGCTGGGAGTCACAACTTTTTTTTTTTTTTTTTGAGATGGAGTCTCGCTCTGTTGCCCAGGCTAGAGTGCAGTGGCGCGATCTCGGCTCACTGCAACCTCCGCCTCCCAGGTCCAAGTGATTCTCCTGCCTCAGCCTCCTGAGTAGCTGGGATTACAGGCGCCTGCCACCACGCCTGACTAATTTTTGTATTTTTAGTAGAGATGGGGTTTCACCATGTTGGTCAGGCTCGTCTCAAACTCCTGACCTCGTGATCTGTCCACCTCGGCCTCCTAAAGTGCTGAGATGACAGACGTGAGCCACTGTGCCTGGCTGGGAGTCACAACTTTTAAATGAACAAAAGTTTATTATTAGCAATGGATCAAATCAGATTTTCAGTGAACAAATGCACACAATATTTTAATCTATTAGGATTAGTAATGTTGAAGCTTCTACTATGCTTTAGTAGAAGTATTTAATTTTTCAGAAGAAAACTCCTGTTTCTCTCCTCTCAGACACTGAAAAAGAAAATGCATTTCCCTGCATATGACAAACTTAGGGGTTTGCAACCTAGGACACATGTCAAAGATAGCAAGCAAACGGATTTTTAACCTTCTACAGGTCAGTTTCTGCTATCATGAGCACTCCCTGATAACCCCCAAAACCAAAATACCCAGTAATTAAACAGAGACATACTTTTATTCTGTGCTTAATACATTCACCACAAAGTGAAAGGACATGTAAGAATCATATTGTCTTTGAAAGAGTGGTTTGCTTGTGTTTTAAATCAAATAGGAACAATCTCTTTGCTAACAATTCTTTAAGCTCATCCAGGATAACACAATGACACAAATTATCAATGAAAAAAACAAGCAAACAACAGTCTTTCCACTCAGAAGGTCACATATAAAAACCACAAGCATATATTTAGGGATGAAACCTATATGCATGAAACTTCCATTTTGGCTTATGGTTCTCAACCCAGATGCATACCCACTGGTATAGCAAGTTTCAGACTGCTGATCTAATAATGGTTACAAAAAAAAATAACTAATGAATTAGTTATTTATTTTAGAGACAGGGTCTTGCTATGTCATCTAGGCTGCAGTGCAGTGGCGAGATCACAGTTCGCTGTAACCTTGAACACCTGGGCTCAAGCAATTTTCCTGCCTCAGTATTCCAAGTATTTAGGACCACAGATGTGTGTCACCACACCCAGCTCATTTTATTTTTTCTAGAGACAGTCTCACTATATTTGCCCAGGCTGACCTCAAACTCCTGGCCTCAAGTGATTCTCTGGCCTCAGCTTCCCAAAGTGTGGGAGTACCACGTGTGAGCCACTGCACCTGGCTTCATACAATATTTTAATCATGAGGTGGAGGTTGCAGTGAGCTGAGATCGCGCCACTGCACTCCAGCCTGGGGGACAGAGAGAGACTCCGTCTCAAAAAAAAAAAAAATTGAAAAAAAAAAAAATTGAAAAAAAAATTGAAGAAAGGCCAGGCACGATGGCGCATGCCTGTAATCAATCCCAGCACTATGGCAGGCCGAGATGGGCGGATCATGTCAGGAGTTTGAGACCAGCCTGACCAACATGGTGAAACCCCCCTCTAGTAAAAATGCAAAAAAACTAGCCAGGCCTGGTGGCACATGCCTGTAATACCAGCTACTCGGGAGGCAGAGGCAGGGGAATTGCTTGAACCAGGGAGGTGGAGGCTGCAGTGAGCCGAGATCATGTCACTGCACTCCAGCCTGGGCAAAAGAGCAAGATTCTGTCTCAAAAAAAAAAAAAAGCGTGTGTGTATATATATATATATATATACACACACACACACACACACGTATACATAAATTAAGATAAGTAACTAGGAACTAGGTCAACTTTAACGATAAATAAGAAAATTTGGCAGGCCTATTATCAATTTAAATAGGTCAGCCTCCAAGACAAGGGAGAATATTCTAATATTTGTATTCTTCAAAACGCATATTAAATGTTACCTCTCCCTACCTATCAGCTTACAATTGGTTGTTCAGTCCTTAGGATGCCGTAGCACTTATTTATGGCTCTTTCAGCACATATACTACAGTGAAATCCAACTCTTCTGCTAATTTGTGAGAATATTCATTCTGTATCTGTGCACATCCTAGATTCTCAATTAAACATTTATTCAATTCACTGTACTTTCACTTATGTTTTGATGACCCTAACATAAATGTTCTTTTCTAGTCATGATAAATGATTAAATGATATTCAATGTTTCAAGAAATGATACTCAACGACTAAATGATATTCAATGTTTCACAAAACACTGAACCCACAAAGCTTTACAAATCCTACAAATCCCTGCATCCAGCATCCTTGCTCATCTTCAGGAGGCAATTTCCAAGAAAAACGGGAGCTGGAAAGTTAGAGAAAGCTTATTAAGTTTATTACGGCTCTGGCATTGGTTTTCCATCGCATGGTACTGCATTTCTTTTTTTTCTTTTTTTAAGATGGAGTCTTGCTCTTATTGCCCAGGCTGGAGGGCAATGGCAGGATTTTGGCTCACTGCAACCTCCACCTCCTGGGTTCAAGCGAGTCTCCTGTCTCAGCCTCCTGAGTAGCTGGGGTTACAGGCGCCCGCCACCATGCACGCCTGGCTAATTTTTGTATTTTTGGTAAAGAAGGGGTTTCACCATGTTGGCCAGGCTGGTCTCGAACTCCTGACCTCAGGTGATCCATCTGCCTCGGCCTCCCAAAGTGCTGGGATTATAGGCGTGAGCCACCGTGCCCGAAATGATTTGAATTTTCATATGCCAGTTCTTGAGGTAGTAATAGACCTCAATAGGTAGTGAGTCAAGATCGTGCCACTGCACTCCAGCCTGGGCAACAAGTGGGAAACTCCATCTCAAAAAACAGAAAAACAGCAAATTCAAATGAGTAACACCAAGTAACAGTTTTATAAATTTAGTAGTACTAGAAAGACTGGATCAAGAGGGTTAGCTGAAAACCCGCCACTGCCTCCTCCCTACTCCAATGATTAATAATGAGAACAGATTTATATATAAAAGGACTATATAGAAAAATAAAAAGGGGTCTAATTGGTAGATGAGAATTAAAAGAATACCAGAGTGAGACATTTTAAAATTTATTTATTTATAAGTGCCATGTAATAACTGTACATGTTTATGGGGTGCAGTGTGGTGTTTAAATGCAGGTACATACTGTATAATGATCAAACTGGGGTAATTACCACACCCATTACTTTAAACATCATTTCTTTGTGGTGATAACATTTGAAATCTTCTAGCTATGCTGAAATAAGCACAACATTGTTATTTGCTATAATCACCACACTTCGTAGAACACCAGAATTTATTCATGTCTAACTTTTTCTTTTTTTTTTTTTGAGACAGAGTCTTGCTCTGTCACCCAGGCTGGAGTGCAGTGGCCCAATCTCAGCTCACTGCAAGCTCCACCTCCCGGGTTTAAGCGATTCTCTTGCCTCAGCCTCCTCTGTAGCTGGGACTACAGGCGTGCGCCACCACGCCCGGCTAATTTTTTGTATTTTTAGTAGAGACGGGGGTTTCACCGTGTTAGCAAGGATGGTCTCGATCCCCTGACCTCGTGATCCGCCCGCCTCGGCCTCCCAAAGTGCTGGGATTACAGGCGTGAGCCACCACGCCCGGCCAACTTTTTCTTTTTTTTAAAGAGATGGGGTCTCCCTGTGTTGCCCAAGTTGGCCTTGAACTCCTGGGTTCAGGCAATCCTCCTGCCTCAGATTCACAAATAGCTGGAACTGCAGCCCTGTGCCACCACCGTACCCAGCTTAAATGAAACTTTGTACCCTTTAACTAACCTCTCCTGGTACCCCTCTCCTTCGTACCATCTCTAGTCCCTGGTAACCACTATTCTACTCTCTACTTCTATAAAATCAATTTAGATTCTACTTATGAGTAACATCATGCGGTGTTTGTTCTTCTGTGCCTGGCTTATTTCACGTAACATAATATTTATTGTCCAGGTTCATCCACGTCACCACAAATGGCAGGATTTCATTGTTTTACAACTGAATAAAATTCCCATTGTGTATATTTACATTTTTCTTATCCATTCATCTGTAGATAAGCATTGATTCCACATCTTTTCTATTGCAAATAGCACTGCAATTAACACAGATACGCAGAGGTCTCTTTGACATGAGGATTTCATTTGCTTTGAATATATACCCAGTAATGGGATTGCTGGATTATACGGTAGTTCTATTTTTTAATTGTTTGAGGAACCTCCATACTGTTTCCATAATGGCTGTACCAATTTACATTCCCATCAACAGTGTGCAAGAGTTCCCTTTTCTCTGTATCCTCACCAGCATTTGCTAGTTTTTGGTTTTTTTTTTTTTTTTTTTTTTAATGGCTAACTTGGAAAGTGGCTCACCGTATACTACACATTTCCACTATGTCGGATCTCACTTCTCGTTTCTAGCTGAGCCATCTGAGGTGACTGGGCAGGTCCTTTCTCCGAATGTTTCATTTCCCATAAATGAGAAAATAGGTGGAGGACCTTAGAGAGTTTTGGTGCGAATAATGGCTATTAGATATCTCAAGAGCTTTTTCTCCTGACAACATGGACATAGGCACACTGGGTTCTGCTTTCCTTATATCCCACTTCTGAGCCCAGGCCCTGTTCCTCTCACTTTCAATCCCAATTCGGGTTCCAAAGGAATAGCAAAAGGAGTCCTTTTAATAATATCTAGTGCTCCTTT